GCATAAAGCCCACTGTTCTCATTAAGCCATTAAAAAGAAAGAAAAACGAAGAAACAAGTCACTTCAGGTGTTTTATAAAATCTGCGAATCAGGAAATTCTCTATATAACAAACTGAACGATTGTTGTTCTCTACTTTAAAAAACACTTTAGATTGTAAAATGGAAAAGTGTCCTATTTTTTTAATATATATTCTTATTTAAAAAGTAAATGTATAAAATGGATGCATAAACACCTCCTTTTATTTCAGTGTTGAATTCTGTTAAAGGTAACAGATTATAATTGAAAATTACTCCGGACCTTTACTGGTTGATGATTTTCTTTATTCGGACCCTGCTGATTTTTAATTGTTGACCCCTGGTCTATAGTATAGTAAAACACCTGCTGTTTGAAAGCCTCAGTAGTTCAAATAACTATTTGCTGTTTAATACCCTGTGCAATAACCTGTTTTTATCTGATATCCAGTGCAATAGCTATATATATATATATATATATATATATGAGGACTATATTTACTGTATATGCATCTTTTCCTCCGTTTGGCACTTTCTTTTTTTGGACTATTGAGCTGATGTAATGAGTAAATATATCCACTGTGAGATCAATAAAGTCAATCAATCAATCAACATTAGTAACAAACAGCATTTCTCACACAATCACCATGAACACACAGTAAAACATGGTGGTGGCAGCATCATGCTACCGAGCTGCTGTGTCCATTTCCTTCAAACTTAATAATTATATAGTCATTATTTTTGCAAATATCTAATCAAAAACCAATAAAACACATAAAATACATTAAAGTCTACGGTTGTCAACATGATTAGATGGAGAATATAAGGGGATAAAAGCAACAATGCAACACAGAACACACCCAAACATGAATTTACCATCTATTTCAGGTTGTATTAGTTAAAAAGAGAACCTAAAACAACAAAAGACTGTTCATGAAGAACGACTATGCAACATAAACCAGAAAGTCAAGTAAGTTTTAGCTTGACCTGCTAATGCTAAAGTCTAATTTACGGGAAGGCGTACATAGGCGGTTTGTCATAACGCAGTTGGTTAATTAAGTCAAAAATGTAAGCAAACCTGTTATATTTTAGGGAATTCAAGGCATGGATTTTATCACCGATAGTTGTCTTTGAAACGTCGAAACAAAACCGCAATGCTGCTCTTGGCGTTTGCTTCTCACTGAAGCGCTTCCGGGTTAACAGTTGGGTAAATTTAACCCACACTTTTGCCTGTTCAGGTTGTTTGACTGCATGGCTTTAAACTTATATCTTATAAATATGTGTATATGTAATTTATAGTTTCATATATTATATTTAAACAGTTTATATAAACTTTATTCGACACATTAAAGTACATTTTTGCTCAGTCCTAGGCTAGTGTTAGAGCCTGACAGGCAAAACTCCTGATACATTAACAGCCGCTTCTTTGTGAACTGTTGTAAACATGGCGGCCGCGGTGTGCAGAGCTCTGTCCTTCACTCGAAACGCTAAGGCGCTGGTTCAACCTTTAAGGTTGGCTGCTGTACCCGTCCACCGATACAGCTTAGAAGTTTCCAGCACCGGGGAGACTGTCACTCATACTGGCCAGGTAGCTTTTAATATTTAATTTGTTTTTAGTGCTGAAAGCTAGGCCGACGGTTAGCTCTCTGTTAGCTCACCTTAGCCAAGTTCAAATGTTGATGTAGCTCTATTATCGGACAGATCTGTGTTACAGTAAATGTTTCTATATTTGATCAACTTTTATTAGCACCCAATAGATTTTTTTTTATCATACATGAATTGTGTATTTTATATACAATTGTACTTTGTTGAAAAACAAATAAAAGCAAGCGAAATATAATGCTAACTAATAAAATCTTTGTAAAAGCTACAAAGTATATGTTGTCTATTTAACCCTACATAAAAGCTAAATGATATTTCTTCCAGGTGTTTGATGAAAACGATCCCCGGAGAGCCAGATTTACTGGTAAACAGAAAGAGGTAAGTGTTCAAAAACACGTCAACGATAAGACCCATAAAATAGTTTGGAATCAAGCAGCTGAAATGGACGTTTAGTAACAGCAACATAAGGGCAGATAAGCTCTATAATAGAGCTGTAGGATTGTGATGATTGTAGTATCATGAGTAATAGTTGTACCACGTCAAATAGGATTGTTGTTTATTTGAGAAAGATTTCATCCTGAGGTGATGAAACAAAGTGCTTTGAGAGAATACTGGCATGGTCAACTCATCTTCTTTGTCTCCATCACTGAAAACACAGGTAACCAGGTTACTAGCAAACAGGCACATATCAGCTGCTTGGAGAACTGGAGGTGATCCATAGTGTCGTATTGTGCATTGATTTAGCTGAGACATTGTACATCTTTCAGCTTGACATTGGTGCTTTATAACGTTCCTAGTATAATATTTTATGGGAATCCAATATGAAGAATATTTCATAAAGATAAGCACCGTTTATTTTTATATTAAACAGATTATAAGCCAGTTAGGACAAAATTGACGTAGAGGTTCTATCATGCTTTGGGACTTTCTCATTTAACTTCTGAATGAAAACACTGCAGCATCTCACAATAAAATATAAACTAGGGTTGTAAATTGTTTCAGTTAATAATTTTGAAGAAAATGGTTCCTTAAAGTTAGTGATGGTGAGATGAAGCCTCATGAGGCATTGAACCATTTGGCCAAATTGCTTCAACGATCACCACAGTTCATGAAGGCTATTGGTGGAGTGCAGAACTACAGTTAGTAATAAAAATAGTTTTTGTTTTTCCTTTTCCCCCCTTTTAAGTTCCTTTGAAATTGTTAACTGTTAGTATGTATAATAAAATCTTTTGTAAATTGTAAAAGTGTAAAATTTGTTAGAGCAATCATTTAAGGTGCACAGTTTTTCTGCCAATTTAGTGAAATAAACTCAAGCAGAGAGTGAAAGTGTTTGTGAAAACTGGGCAATGATGAGCAAAATTAAAGGTGTTAGACATTTTTATTCAAACATAATAGTTTTTTCCACATTTTTTGGTTTTAATCAGGTTGGAAGCTGTGTTCAACCAATCTTTTGGCTAAACCGACCTAATTTGGCAGCGTTTTTACTAATCTATATTTTTACTGGGGCAAACCAATGCAAAATAGTCTCATCAGCCAAAATAATTAAGTTTAATTGCAATTTTCAAAAGGCAAAGGTAGGTCTTGAACCATGAACCTCCAGAGTTAGTCTGTGTCTTACAACTGACGCCACTTATGTAGATCACTGTTGAATGGAGAAAATACTCCTTAATAGTGACGTGCTAATACTAACTTTGTCCGGTGGCTTGCTCAGATTTTGATCATTACATTTATTCTCACCAAAATGTTTTAACTACTAGATTGGTTTGAAAAACAACCAATTTATTCTTAGAATCTATCCAAACTCTATCCAGCTGACAGCAACTCTCCTCCAAACTCCATCATCTTGACTGAACACTGAGGCAGTTTAGATGCCTGTCAAAAGTGGTCACGTGGTATCATGGTACTGAGGCCTCGGACGTCATTAATTTTGGCGCCTCCTCTAAATGAATCACACTTAACATGCGCTTCGGGGAAACGCCACCTGCATAACTCGACACACGTCTCGAAGCCTCGGCTCATCTCATAACATCACTACTTAAAGTACGTTTTTGCATAATTAAACCAGGTGAAACAAAAATTTCCATTTGAGTTCTGGATAGAGCATATTGACAGACAAGAAAATGTTTTTTGAGCTTAAATGCAAAATATATATATATATATATATAAAGAATGTTTTGTTCTCATAATTAAACCAAATTTCTCTTCCTTTACTTGTTTGTTTACTGTTTTTAAGGTGAATAAGAATTTCGCCATTGAGCTTGTGTCAGAAGAGCCGCTGACGCACGTCGAGTCCAGAGTGATATCCTGTGATGGAGGTGGAGGAGCACTGGGACACCCCAAAGTCTACATTAACTTGGTAAGATCAAGCAGGTGTATATTTGGATTTTATATAATCAAAAGTATCTTCTAACTTGTACACATTTTCCACCCAAAATGGCAACTCCTGAGGAACTAGTGGCCAAAGATTCGGCTACAGTAGAATATTCATCCCATTTTTTTATTTTACAGCATATCCTGCTGACAAACATAACATGGACATTTATGTTCAACTAACAGACTTCTTCAAAAATAATACTGAACATTTTTATTTGCACATCTTCACTGTTAGTGATTAAAGTGCAGATGGTAGATTTTCCTTTATTATAACCAATGAAGACCTTTAAAACAAAAACTCAGCCATATTCCATAAGGTTCCTGCACAACCCAACAAAGTAGCTCATGTTTAAAGCTGCGTTTGTATCAAACCAAGATGTTTCTGAATGCAAGACTATGATTCCCAGTGAGAAAAAGGAAACTTAAAAGTACATTAGCTGTGAGAAGAAATATATGCATTGGTATTCATTACTTTACTATACTTTGAAGCTATAGCTTCGATAGACATCTATACATTATACATTTATGTACATCTAGACATCAGCTGTCATTACTGGTTTCTTTAGTGATTGTTTACCTGCTGGAAGGAGAATCTGTTCCCCTCCTTTTATGTATTGTAGCAAATCTGCTGTCATTTTAAAAGGAGCTCATCTGTCTTTGATAAAAAGGGATCCTAAAAAAAAGTCTTTTGTTGCCACCACTGGGTTTTTATTATGAAAAGGTTTGTTTGGGATTACCCTAATCTCTTAGAAGTGCTGTTCAATCTCCCTGAGTTGAGTCTCCTCTAAACACAGCATCGTAATCTACTCCTGTGCTTTATGCCCTGCATGGTTTCCAGCTAACCTTGAACAGGAAATTTTGTACCTTCCTTCCATCTTGCCTTTTTGTCCTCAAAGACTAGATTTGTTAATATAATCTAATAGTTTTCTTCCAGAGTTACTGTTGGCCTCTTGGCTTCTTCCCAGACAACTTTTTCTTAAGTTTGCAGTAGAAAATTATAATGTATCGAATGGCAATCATCATAACTCTTCCAACTGATGCTTGTCTTTGATTACCGAAATACTAAACTTGGTATGGAAATTGTAAAAATAAGGAAAACTTTCGTCCAATCATAATTTCAAGTTGTAAATCCCAGGGGAAAATAAAAAATGTCCTTCAAATATTTAGAAGTATTTGTAAAATAGCCAGTTGGAAAGTGAGGACTGTGTAAAATTACCTCTTTTGCTGTAATTGTCGTATTAAAATACTTCTACCTAAATGTAGGGCTCATCACCAGCACCTAATAAAGCAGTTGGGTTGGATATAAACTTTCCACTAATAATTTCCCTTTCATCCTTGGCAGGATAAAGACACCAAAGTAGGGACGTGTGGCTACTGTGGGCTGCAGTTCAAGCAGAAGCATCATCACTGAAGCATCAGTCCTGTACTCGCTTCTCTGTATAAAATAAATTATGTTAACTGGGTGTGCATTTTGTTTTTTTATTTAAAAACTTAAGTAACCTTGTGCATTTAAAGAGAATTCATTAGCATGTAAATGAATTTTACTTGAGGCCTGGATGTTGCCATTGAATGCAGTTTTAGCATTTGACAGACAGAGGTCAGCATTGTCCCATATATGTGTACAAATTGAGACTCCAAGGATTAAAGGGTTCTTATTGTCATTAAAAACTTTTTTTTTTCTCTTTTAATTGGGAAATGAAATAAAAGTATTTATTTGCAGTGCTTTCATAGGCCGTAACTTCAATGTGAAAAGTAGGGTTCACTGCTGCACACAACCACAGCATCAATTCAGCTTCCAGGCCTTCCTGATGAGACACAACAGAGCGGAACAATTCATGTTTGAAGAAGGATCGTATATATTTTTCATCAGGGTTTATTCTCCATAGACCTCTGCATGCCAAATTGGCCCGTTCTTGGCTCAGGCTCCAGACACAGTTAGCGTGTTCGGTCCCTAGTGATGCAGCCAGTGGAACTGCATTTTTCCACTCCACAGGGCTCAGGTTGGAAGGGAGGGGTTGTCAGGCTGATATAATTGGCCCTGGTGGCTCCTGGAAGTACGCCCTATCCTGTAGTTAACCTCATCTCCAGTCAGACCGCAGTGAATGATTGAAGGGGGGATGGAGGTGCTTTGTTAAATCGAGGCGTGTGAACTGGGTCGGTGTCAGAGAGATGACTGCTTGGTCTGGCGGTCAATATGTCTGGTTGGTTCAGAGGTGACGGGTGGTTGAGTCGGAGGGATAGCCGCTGGCAAAATTTACTGATGAAACTGAGCATATGAATTGAGCTGAAGGACATAGTGTTTTTTTTTTCTGTACTGGGTTTTACAGCAGCATTGAATAATTCAATGCTCTTAAACGCAGGCTTTCAATTCACTTTGGATGAGCTTGGCTCTATGCAAGTATTTTCAAAGGACGGCCTTTCAGTGGTATAGATCTGTATCTTAAAACTTTCCTTGCTCCAGTTTGTTGCATCCATTCATACGTCCACCAATCTATGTTTGTCCATTAGTCTGTCATTGTGCTTTTTTTTATTTTTTACTCCATCCTTTCGCTAAATTGTATCCGTCTATTAACCCTAGTTATCAATATTCCAGTATTTATTCATGTCTATGATCCATCAGCTTTTTTCCATTTATTTATCCATCTTTGCCATCGTGCCTTTTTTCCATCATTTTACCTATTTCTTCATCCATGAGTTTGTATGCTCATTAATTCTTTTGCTCTGATCCATCAAAGCATTTGTTTTTCCATCTTCCATTTAAACATTTGTCCCAAAAAATAAAGTCAAAACATAAACAACATAACTTTAATCAAATCAAACCACTGTGAAATCAAACTCCACTTTGAAAGCAACACTGATTGACAATCAGTTTCACATGCTGTTGTGCAATGGATTAGACAGAAGGTAGAAATTCTTAGCAATTAGCAGGACAAACTCAAAGAGTGGTTCTGCAGGTGGGGTCCACGGACCACTTCTCAGTACCTACCGTATGCTTTCTGGCTGATGTTTTGGTCACTTTTGAATGTTGGCTGTGCTTTAACACTCCGGGTAGCATGAGAAGGACTCTACAACCCACACAAGTGGTTCAGGTAGTGCAGCTCATCCAGGATGGCACAGCAATGCGAGCTGAGGCAAGAAGGTTTGCTGTGTCTGTCGGTGTGGTTTCCAGATCTTGTTGGTGCTAACAGGAGACGTGGAGGAGGGTGACAAGGGCAACAGCCCAGCAGCAGGACCGCTACATCTGCATTTGTGCAAGGAGGAACAGGAGCACTGCCAGAGTGCTGCAATTTCAGCTCCAACAGGCCACAAATATGCATGTCTCTTTGAAAATGTTATGAAACTGACTCCATGAGGATGGTTTGAGGGCCCGATGTCCACAGGTGGGGGTTGTGCTCACAGCCCAACACTGTGCAGGAAGCTTTGCATTTACTAGAGAACGTCAGGATCTGTAAATTCACCACTGGCACCCTGTGCTCTTCACAAATGAAAGCAGGTTCACACTGAGCACATGTGACATATATGACAGATTCTGGTATCACTGTGGAGGGCGATCTACCGCCTGCAACATCCTTCAGCATGACTGGTTTGGCTCTGGGTCAGTAATGTGTGGTGCTGCATTTCGTTGTAGGGCTGCACAGACCTCCATGTGCACGCCAGAGGTAGCATGATGGCCATTAGGCCCTAAGATGAGATCCTCAGACCCCTTCTGAGACCATATGCTGGTGTGGTTGGCCCTGGTTTCCTCCTAATGCAAGACAATGATGACCTCATGTGGCTGGAATGGGTCAGCAGTACCTGCGAGATGAAGGCATTGAGGCTATTGACTGGCCTGTCCGGTTCCCAGACCTGTACTGATTAAGCACATCTAGGACATCATCTCTTGATCCATCCACCAACGTCATATTGCACCACAGACTGTCCAGAAGTTGCTGAATGCTTTAGTCAAGGTCTGAGGAGATCCCTCAGGAGACCATCCACCACCTCTTCAGGAGCATGCCATAGCATTGTAAGGGGGTCAAACAGGAATGTAGTGGCCATAAACAATACTGAGCCTCATTTTTACCAGTTTTAAGGAAATTACATCGAAGTTGCATCAATGTTTTTCCACTCTCCTATTGTGTTTGACTAAATCCATTGATTAATACATTTTATTCCTTTTATGATTTTTGTGTGATTTTGTTGTCAGCACATTCAACTTTGCACAGAACAGAAGTATTCAATAAGAATATTGCATTAATTCACATTGGGATGTGTTATTTGAGTTTTCCCTTCATTTTTTGAGCAGTGTATGTATGTAGATATACATACATAAGCATACAGCATCAGCAGCACATTTTTTTATTGTATTTTTATTTTTTTAGGCATATGTGATTTTGGTTTTGTCCCTCTGGCTATGACATAACAAATTAAATAAATATATATATTAGATATAATTTAGTATTAAAACATATAAAAAAATTCATTAAGTTATGACATAACATTATGACATTTTTCTTTCCATCATCCATCTGCCCATGTTCCATCTGTTCAATCCCTCTTTCCTTTATTCAACAACTCATTTGTCCGTCATCCCATTTACACATGTACTGTTAGTCTATCATTCATCCATTTGTTTGTCCTCTTTTTCATCCAACTGAGGTATTTACTAGGGGTATGAATTGGCAAGAACTTGGCGATACGATAGACCTATGTATCACAATGCGTGAGTCACAATACAATTTATTCCGATGTATTGCAATACATAAAAAAAGACGATATATTGACTCAAATAATAATAGCATAGCTCTGGACAACCTCAAGAGATCTTGTTGTTGCTCTGGTGCGGCTGGAACAGAGAGCCTAAATAATATTTCTTTGGGGGATGCACTGCCAACCGGAGGTTTAAGAGTGAAATAAAAGTAAGACGATGAAATGGATGTTTACCTATAAATATAATTCTAAATTTAAGATCCGTTTGAAATTATTGCCCATATTGTCTAATGAGATACTGTCATATTTTCATTTTGAAGTGATGCAAATGTTATCTAATGAATTATCAGGATATTTGACATATTCAACTTTTTCTTAGAAATCCTAAAATCAATCAAAACATCTGCTTTAAATCCTACTTCAGCTTTTGTAGCTGTACTTTTAAAAAGTCCTAAAAAGAAACTATTTGATGCTGGAAAAGGTTTGGAATTTGGACATGAATGCTGCCCAGGAAGCCTGTAAACACACTACCTAGAATATTAAAGTATTTCCCAACAGTGTATGTGTCAGAGAAATCCAGGTTGTAACGGTACAGTTCCCCAATTTACAGCTAGACTCATTGAGAGGTTCAGTTTCAGAGCGGTTTAATCAGTGCAGGGTCTAACCCTACATCCAGCCATCCTCTTTCTCTTTGCATATTATTAGAAGGTAATTGCAAATACAGCTCTACCTGTTGTTTGACCTGCACTGCTGGGTCAGAACCATCAGGAAAGGATACGCTCAAATGAGACTAATCACATTAGAAATGTCCTCAACACTGGGCAATAGATAATGGAGTTAAATGCCAGGGAGTTCCTTGGTACAGAGTCCCTGCACAACAATCACTCATTTCACACAAAACATCCTCCTCTGCTCTGTAATTGCCCTATTAAAATATTTCTACTTTAAGATGTGTCACATTACAGAGCCCAAGGCTCATTATGGAGCTCCATGCCTCCAATTATCTGAGGCTCCACGTCCAGAAGCCAAACTGACCCAAAAGGGGGCTCACGGGCAGATCTGGGAGCAGCCTCATCCTCCTTAAGTCCACGCTAACTGCGCGAGAGGCAAATCAGAAAGCTGACCTTTGGTCATTGTCTCGAGGCGACTCCACTCGGCTCAGCTTTTGGTCAGGTGACAGAGCCTCTGACCTTTACCATGAAAATAATGACTTGTTCTTGTGCCAAGAGCTCAGGGGGTTACCATGGGGAGCGAGACACCTCTGGCGACACGAGACAGTATTTGGAGGACAGAGTTTGCACTCAGCGCTTTGATAGCCCCAGAAAAAAACCAAAGTGTGTGTGACACGACACAAGAGACTTGAAGCTGTGAGTGTTTGTACGCCAGTGTGTGTGTGAGGATGTGTTTGGATGTACAACAGAGGCTCAGATGGTGTTGAAAGGAAATAGGTGTCAGACTGAAGGGGGAGTAATTTGAAGTTGTCAGAATTTCGTTTTAAGACATTCCATTAGAAATTTTTCAAAGCACGATTCAGGAACACTGTTGGGTAAAAAACAAACACCCCCATGGACACCAGTGAGGAAATTTGGGCAAAATATGTCTGTCTTACTGAGAATTTGAAACTTTTCTCTTGTCTTTTTCTGACTTTTACATCACCTGAACTGTTCTTGAACACTTTGGTGTCCTTCACCAGAAGAGGTTTAATGGTAAAAACGGAAAAGAAGTTTGCTCTTTCTTAGTCATTACTTTGTTGCGAAAATGCTTCTATGGCAC